TATTGCTGTTAGATTAGTGAGTAAAAATCCATTCATATTTGAATAGCCCGAAATCAAGTCTTTCTTCTTCTTTGATTAGCTTACACAATTGTGATAAGACCAAAACTATAGTCTTCTTTTCTCTCTTCTGGTAAATGTATGTTTCATAGTATTTCTGCCTTGAAAAGACATCATGTCTGGGAAAATATTTTAAATGCTATAAGAACCATTTCTGTCATTTTATTATTACTATCATTATGAATGTGATTGAATGGGTTGTATTCATTAATTTATACTTTCTTATTTAGTTCTCATGAAAGCTAGTTTCTTGAGGATTATACTTATACTTTTATGAAACTATTAATTCTTTGATAATCTAGTTAGCAATAGATGATTTTAAGCAAGACTTCAACCCAAAATGTCTAGTTAACTGAGGTGTAACCCAAACCAGGAAAATAACATTTGGTCAAGCACAGCAGAGCCACGCCTTGTATATGGGATGATTTGCTTTGTTAATTGTCTGTTTTCTGTGACTGGAGTAGGAATCCCCAGTGAGGTAAATGTTTTTCCTTCTGTTTCAGTTTTGAAAGTGAGACTAGATCAAGTGGGCAGTAACAGAAGAGAACAGAGTTGAAGACAAAAGTATAATTATTATTTAAAGAGTATGATAACACTATGATGAAATGAGGATTGGCTAAACAGAAGAGGCGACGTAGAATGTATATGACACTGCAATTAACATACGTTATGAATGTGTACAAGTGGCTGATGACTTGTTTTCTTTGTGCTTTAGTGTGAAACAACAGGAAAGTTTGCAACTTTTTTCAAATGAATGAATGAATTAATATTTTCGAAAGATTTCAAAGCTAGGATAAGCTTGAAAACTATAAAAAGATTGCATTATGTACATGTCCATAATTCTGTTGCTTGGATATTCATGAAATTAGATTTTTTAAAAAATATTTTAAGCTTCTATAAAATATGTATTAATAATTGAGTCTACAATGTGAACCTGCATGTCTAAAGCAATGTTTATAGATGTGCAGTGTGATATGAATGTGTATGGTTTACATGTGCGTCCAGTATGAGTGGATGATGAAGACAGGAGGGAAGACATGATGAGCTAAAATAAGAATGATGCAGAAATAAAGACCAGACAAGCAGGAAAATCACAGAACTTGTCAGTCAAGAAGCACTGGACAACCCTATGATAACTAAAGATTTAGAAATGCATATGCAGATACAAAACAAATCTTTTGGATAATCCAGTGAACTCCTAACTCTAGGCTTAGAAACAGAAGAACACCATTTTCATTGGAACTTAGATTTTGAATTTGGGGTCCAGGTAAAAAGCATCTTGCTTTGGTTAATAAAATGACCCAAGGCACTAAGATGAATATAAACCCAATGGTTTAAACTCAAACTGTTGACAGACTTTTCCAAATCATGAGATTATAAGAAAAATTTTAATTTCTTATATTTCTCTGTGGCCACTATATTTTATAAGTTGAAACAATTTATCAGTCAAGAAATCTCAACAAAATCGCTTTAGAAAATTATTTTAATTCACGGATTTGCTTATGCTCAATCTGCTCTAGAAATTTTGATTGCTGAATGACATGGGATTCCACATAAATATGCTATTTAGTAAAAGTATAAGGATGGTTGACACCATCCTCCTTCTCTCAGGACCCAAACCGGTTCATACTATGCTCCTGTCTTAAAACAGCTTGCAAATAGCAGCTTGGAAGGGAACTAGATCAGCAAGAAGGGATCTGAGTCATAATATACTCTTCTCCTATGTTCTCTTTCCTCTTTTCCTCCTGTATTATTCTTTCTTTTGTGATTAATCAGCTAAAAAAAGAGGGCAGAACAGAGAAAGAGGAGTACAGATGACGTGAAAGCATTCACCCACTGGTTCACTCCCTAAATGCCAACAGTGGCCTGGACTAGGCCAGACTAAAGCTGGAAGACAAGCAGTCACTCCATTTCTCCTAGGACCTGAGCGATTGCCTGTTGTTTCCCAGGAAGCTGGAGTCAACCAGATTCCAGGCACTGTGACAGATGACATGCGAATGTCCTACAGAGTATTTTAACTGCTGTGCAGAGTGTTAGTCTCACTTTTAACATCTTTCCTCCTGGATTCTTTTAGATGGCTCATGTCAGCTATTTCAAAAACAGTAGTGCATATCCAACTCCCCGTGTTCCAAAGCTACTGGGAAGAGTGGGAATGAAACTTCATTTCTTTCAAACTTATTTAGCTAAGACAAAGGTGAACTTTGTGAAAAAAAAAATAATAATAAAAAAAACTTTACCAAGAAACAAAAAGAGAAAAATAACACAGATGTTTAGAAATAGACATGCTCCAAAGCATGCCTTCTATCTTAACCCTGCAGTCAGATCTTGGCATATTCCAGTTACCCACACAAATTCTGCATTGTTGCTCAGTCTGTAAGAAATGTTACAATGTTGGCAAATCTTGACTATTTTGTTTTGTGAACTGTGTTTTTGCCCTCTGAGGAATTTATCTTTTCTTAAAACATAATTAAAGATCTCCAGTATCTGTTATTATGGACAGTAGGGTGATACATCAATTAAGAAAAAAAAAAACTGTATGCTAAGGTCTTCAAAGAGTCTAGCAAGGAATCCAGTAGAGCTTATTTTTGCAAATTTTGACTTATTAAAGTACATTAAGATAACTTTAATCCATCTTGACTAATAGTAACATGTGACCTATATATTTGAAATACCAGAGGGAATATGTAAACTCTTACTTAATTTCCCCAACTGAAGTCCAGATATAGAATGGCCTGACAGTAGCTGTCCAGGGGCTTTGCCTTGGCTGATCTTCCTGTCCTTGCCTCTGGCAATGCTGATATTTGAACAACTGTCCAGTTGTGGGGAGGTCATTATCTTTTCCCTCTTCTTCCTCTTGTTCGTTGTGTTTCTTCATCTTCGGAATCCCTCTGGTTCTAGAGGTATCACACCTCTCTCCTGGCAACAGAGAAGCCCCTCAGCGCCTCCTTGCCTTTGATAGTTTTCATGGACTTGTCTTCTGTAGGACCTGGGAGTCCTGCACAATTATCCCATGCCAGTGGATCATTTCTGGATTTTGTAGCATGCCTTTAACGCACTATTAAGTTTTTTGGGGGGTAAAATCCCACTTTAAATGGTCCCCTAGGCAATCTCTTAGCCCTGACCCTGGTAGCAGGATGGCAGGCACCATGTTCCTGGGGTCTCTGTCATCTCATTTTCTTCTTGTGAAAACCAGACTTTAGCCCTGTTGTTTAAACGTTTGTTCGCTTTCCATGTTGCCATCATGCTTTGGAATGGTATCTCCTAGACCTGGTTAACCCACAAATAAATGAGACAAAATGAGCTCTGAGTTCCATGAAAAACCCAGCATGTCCTTATACAACTAATAACTCTTCTGGGAAGAGAAGGCAGTGGTTCTTCACACTGTAGAGAGAGGTAGGAGGGCGGCAGGAGTGAGAGGGGCTAGCATTGGTACTTGGAACACCTCTGCATCCCCTCCACTGCCTGATCCATCACCTGCCAACCTTTTTCTCCCTCCGTTGTGCTGTGTCAACTAAGAGAACCATGAATACATCACAAGCATCAGAGAAGTCATGTCAAGTGGAAGGGGCACAGAGAGAGAGAGAGAGAGAGAGAGAGAGAGAGCTACAGCCTTGGGCACAAGGATAGGGTGTGTCCTTACCAGTGAATCTTGATCTCTGGAACTAGGTTCTACTCAGTCTTCATTCATGAAAACTTCACTTCTGTATCAACCTGAGTCTAGCTTGCTGTGGTAACATTTGTTAAATCCTGAAACAGGTTGCCAACATGAAAGGTCTCCTGTCTTTTTTAAATGTCACGATCCTGCATCACACCCACAGAACACACAACTTCTCCGGAGGCTTTCGAGTGTTTTAAGTGTGTGCAGATTCTATTTTGGTTAATTGTATTGTTTTCCACCTTTCATCTAAAACTGTCCATCAGCATTCAACCTGCCAGGGTTCCGGGAACATGTAAGGCCTTGATAAAGATCATGTATTCCCACCAATTAGGCAACAAACCATTTTGCCTCTGGCGAGGAATTCCATACGCATTGTGTCAGGAGGAAATATCAGAAGAGATTCCTCTACTCCCATCAGAACTTAGGTTGATTCACTAAAGGCCTGAGAATTCTCCAGCCAGAAAATCAATTCTTCTAGGAGGACTTCAGCCTGGAAGGGAGCCGAGAACTTTTTCTCCCAACAAACGGGGGGAGGGGGCGCGTGGAGGGAGTGGGGATGGAAAGAACCTATCAGCTTCTATTCAGATTCACCATTTGCAGTGTCTGTAAATCTAAACTTGGGAGTGTCCTACTGTATCACTGGAGGTCCCTCAAGGGGACACTTATTTGGGGACTGGTGATGGTCGAAACGGAGTGGGGGGGGGGGGCTCTGTGAAACTTTGGAACTTGGCACAGCATGTCACCTGCAGTGTTAAGACCAGGAACTGAAAGTTCTTTCTGGTAATGATGCGAAGTGGGGGTCTGCATCAGCAAGAGCTGCTCATTGCTGTGTCCTTGTGTCTCTAGCATGTGCTAAGGAAGCCATGCAGCTCGAATTTCTCTAAGGTTGTAACGAGAGACCACCGGTCCAACTGGGCATTTCTCGGAACAGTAATGCGAGGACACAGAAAGCCCTCAGTGCAGAAATAAGATTTTACAGGAGTAGGTACTGGATTTTGTTAAAGAGATGCAGAGGTTTTTGAGGACATGGGACCCACATTTCCCAACCCTCTGGCACCTGCAGGATATATCTGTGCTGCTCTGGAAATGAAACTAGGGAAGGCCGGCCGAGGAGGGAGCCAGCAGAGCAGGGGCGGTTCCGCGGTTCCGGCTGGCAGTCTGGGGGACAGCCACCCGGTGGCAGGGTCCTGGGGCCTGAGATAACCCGGGCGTGGGGAGGGCGGGGCTCCCGCCTGCCTCCCCGGTAGTGCGGCTGAGTCTTCTGAAGCTGCCAGTTGCCAAATGAAATCTGAAACCGGGCTGTGTCTGAGGGTTGGCCTCCCTCAGTTGTCCCGGCCTCTTGTACTGTATATTTACACATTCACACACAATCACTCTTTCTAACTTCTGGGACTTTGCGCAACTGCTCGCATTTCTCAAGTGCATGTGGCAACTCAGCCCAGCTCCTGGTGCAACCCCGCGGGGCTCCGAGCGAGGGCTGTGGAGAAGACGGGAGCTGTCAAGACTGTAGCGGAGACCCGCAAAGAGTTAGGTGCAGGGGACTGAGGGAAGCATTCCCCCAACTCCCAACTTTCTTGGGCCTCCACAGCTCTCCCAGCTGCAGGCTGTTTCCTCCAAATCCAGCGCAGCTGCGGGGCAACCGAGTGAATGGAGCTCAGTACTTGCCCTGTTGGTGAGAAGTGAAAGAACCGTGCGGGCCCCCGATTTCTCTTCCTCTTCTCTGGGCTGGTGCCCAGAGCCTTGTCCTTCGGAGCAGCTGCTGTCCCGTGGCCGGGGTGCACTGGCATCAGGGTAAGTGTTGCGGCTGCGGGGTTTGGGGGCGCTGAGCGCGCTGAACAGTGGCGAAGGGTAGGGAGCAGCTGCTTTGCACCGGGAGAAGGCTGCTGGGGGCAAGCTGGGCTCATAGAATCCTGGGCTGGTGCAGCGTGTGCGTGCTAACATATGTATGTATGTATGTTTTTGTATGTGTGTCTGCGAGCTCAAGCGTGCTTGGAAACACAGCAAGCTGTTTGCGTTTCTGACATTAAAAAACAGCTGAGATTATTGAAAAGCCTTGATGCAACACAGTTTCCTCCCCCCCCCCATTTGTTTCCTCTAGTATCTTTAAAGAACTTTCTAGATGACAAACATATAGAGGTTTTTATAATAAGCATTTGTGTGTGTGTGTGTACACAAGTGTTAGGGAAATTTAAGTCTTCCAAGCTTTTAAAGCTGTTATAAACGTTCTTCTTTTTCTTCTTCTTTTTTTTTTTTTTAAAGAAAAAGAGCAACATTTTGAGAAAGTATCTAGTTTAAGGATAAACATGTAATATGTTCTGATTAAAATTACTTCAGATGGCATATCCTATTTAGGGCCCCAAATAGAAGGCATGTAATATTTCTCTGAATTCCTTTGAGATACTAAGTTTTCACTGTCAACTGTGTCAGAAAGCCCAACATGTCTTGTTGTCAATATCAATTTTAAAGCATTTCAGCTCTCACCTCCAAACATTTTTGTCCCCGTCATATTTTATGTTACTCATTTTCATGGTCTTCCAAGCCATAAATATTTCATGTGCTTCTAGAAAAAGAATATAAATAAATAAAGGTAGGTATTTGCAATATAAAAGTTGGAAGGACTTGCTTTCCTCTAGGTAAAGCAATATGTGTGACTGAGTCTACTTATTTAAGACAAATTAATTGAGACTTGAGGATATTTACAATAGGGTTTAAAAGCTTTACTCGATTAGGGAGAAGAATATGGACAGATTAACCACAAGGGAACTGGTCTCAGATTCTAACTAGAACCCCGAACCAAGTCTTAAGGGTATAGAGGCGTGTTAGTGTTAGTATTGACGTGGGCGGTGGAAAACATAAAGCACATCACATTAATATATTTGAAAATGCTGACACACAAGTGTTAAGCTACATTAAACTTGTCATAAGCTCACTCCCCCTTTTAAATTTCCTGACCCTTCGTTTTTCTTTGGGGTATTTTAACTTCTAAGAGAGTCTAGAAGCTCCCTGTTTTATCTTGCTGATCTGCCTGGTGTTCAGCTAGTAGGTTCGGAAGTCTGTTGGTTTCAGAGCCTTGGCTGAGCTGCAGATTGGGTATTGACAAAACTTGAAACTCAATAATGTCATTTTACTGCTCGCAGGAGAAATGTTCTCGGCAGTGGGGCCTTTAAGTGGGAATACAGGATACAGGATGCAGAGTTTTCAAATCTGGAAGTGAGTGTGAGGCATGTGGTAGGACTACACAATTTAAGGAATAACAGAAAAGAGACCCAGGGATTCCTTCTGCCTGTGGAAATCTGCTGAAAGTCTATCCTTGACTGTCATTTATCTATGATTATACTTCGTTATTTCCTCTCAGAGTTTGGATTTGAGGTCTTCTTTTGGGCTACGCATACCATGAATCTGAACTGTTTGTTTAATACAGACCTTGACAGCCAATGGGAAAGAATTGGGTTCTCTAGAAGAAAAACTCTGCTGCTGAAGAAATTGCTCTCGGAATGCACCCATCTTGACAGGAACATAGATTTAAATATAAGAGTGTTCTTGGCAGCGTTCCTCAGTGACCTCCTTAGATGTTTTGTTTGAGATAGTAGTGGCCAATGGATGGTCTCTGGGCTCCCATGGATGCTGGTTTTATTTACTGTGGGATCTTGGACTCTGGCGGTGGAGGGGGGGCGGTGAGGAATGTGCAGCAGGTGGTCATGAGAAGCTTGTATCTGATTGCTTTGCTGTCTCAGCCAATGACAAGGAAGTGTTTAACAGCAGTGCCCTTAACAGTTTCACAGTGACCTACTGGCCCATCAAAGTCTTTTCTTTCTGGCACTGTTAGTATCCTTGTTGACTTTCCAGGGTTGAAAGAGGAAACCTGGCAGCAAAGTTTCAACTATACATTTTGGTTTTTATTCTTGTATGTATGCTGCTATAGTGTCTTGGTTTCCTGCACTTCTTGTCCTGTGTGTTTCTGAAGAGGGCTCCCTCTATGAATTGAGCTTGTGTCATGCTGATTCCTTATTTCACGCTATGTGTGAGTTTTGTTGAAAGTGGGTGTTCAGGACAAGCAAGCTGAAGGAGATGGAGCCTAGTGACTCACTTGGTCACATGTGGGTGCAGAGGCAGACAATAACAAGAACCGGAGGTGTTCATGTTGGAAGAAAAAAAGGCATAATAGGGTGCACAATAAAGAAGTCTGTTTTGTTCCCCAATGGTTATGACTAAAGAATTAATTTTTTTCCAAATGGAGAAAGCTATTGAAAAATAAAATTGTAAGTGATCAATTTAACCCTTACACGAATGGTCCTCATGTGAGAGCTACAGCCCCATCTTGAGTCTCCCAATTGTGACCATCTTTCTTGACTATGTGAACTGTAACTTTACAAGGTTTCATCAGCTAAGTAAAATCACATGGAAATCGAGGCATTATTGTGATGATGAGTTGAAGAAGATTCTGTTTTCAGAGATTATTGTGCCCATGTGTGTTTTCAAGCAGTGTCTATCCTCTGCTGTGAAATGCTACAATTGATCTTTATGAAGTCCAGACGGGGTTGTATAAACCCTTTGTTCTGAAACTTTTCTTGAATCCCAGAGATCTACACTGCTTGCTTTGAACTCCTTAGAGCTTCCTCTTCCTGTTCAGGGGCTGCACTGATCACACTTCTCAACACTTATTCATGGCTTCACTCATCTGGATTGCCCACTGCCTGGAAAGTCCCAGTTGACGCTTGGTGGCCCACTTAAGATGGAACTTTCTGTGGGAAAATTTAACCAATTCCATACAGGAAGAATTGGTCATTTTATTGTGTTGGCTGTCATGGTGAGTTTTAATAGGTTTTGAATAATATTTTTTTCTCTTCTATTTTATTTTTAGTTTTATGATACAATTCCATCAGTTCTGGGATTTCTCCTACCATCTCCCCCAAATTTCCTCCCCCAACGTATTTCCCCCATATTATTATAATAGTATAGTACTTCATAAGCAGTCATAAGTCCATCATTCTGTTATTTAAGTGTGTCCTGATATTGCCAGTACAGGCCATGGCAGAAAGTCCAGCATCCTATTGTCAAGATATATCCAACAGTTTCACTGGGAGTCCATCTTTGATTTGGAAGTAGAAATGCATATTGCTTTGTATCTTCACAATTGGATATGGTAGTTTCTATTACACAATCACTATACATTCCCTTAATTGAGAAGCCCTGAAACAGAATTAACAACGGGAGTAAAGATAAAACAAAAGATTTACAGCACTATGGAGTCAATGAACATGCTACTGAATAACCAACGTGTCAATGAAGAAATGACCAAGAAAACACGAAAGCTTCTTGAGTAAAATGATGCTACTGTGTGATATATGAGTCAGTGAAGAGCTTAATAAGGGAAAAGAAAATATTTTGAAGAAATGAAAACACAAACAAAAACAGAAAAACTCACGGGGACTGCAGCAAAAATAGTATTGAAATGTCCATTGATCTTATAACTTACATAAAGGTTGCCTTATATCTGAGAATAAATGGTATTTGTGCTTTTGGGATTGACTTATTTCACTCAGAATAATGGTCTTTAGCTGGGACCATTTGGTGGTAAAGGGTAGAATTTCATTCTTTTTAATGGCTAGTTAGTATTCGTAGAGTAGGTATACTACAGTTTCTTTAGCCACTCCTCTATGGACAGGTCTGGAGTTGATGGAGTCATTGTTTTCTTTTGGAAATCAAAAAATGCATTCTAACCTGGAGATAACCGAAACATTTTTAGCACACATTTGTTTTCCACAATTGCACTTTGTAGTGTACTTTATCAAATCTATAACCAATCAAGTCCCAATGGGAGGTCCTGGATTTGACTGTGATTGCTAATAAGGAAGTTAGATTTGGAGATATTGCCTGTGGAATAAAAAGTATTCTTAATTCATCAAACAAAATTTAAAAAAGGGTATTTTTAGCTATTAGTAGTTTTCTTAAGTTTTACTGTTTGAGGGAAATCATATTGCATCAGGGGAGAATGTGGAAATGGATAGAGAGGAAAAAATTGAAAAGCACACCTTATTTCTTGTTACTGATTATTACGAAGGAACTTCATAAAGTTGTGGTAAATTAAAACATAAAAAAGTTTGTTTTATTGTAATTTTTGAGATTGATTCATCTGAAAGTCAGAGAGAGAGAGACAGAAAGAAGGGGAGAGAGTCTCTGATGTGCTAGATCACTTTCCAAGTGTCTGTAACAGCAGGGTCCGGGTCGTTCAGATCACAAGAACCGGGAGCTTCATCCAAATGTCTTTGTGGGTGGCAGGGCTCAAAGTACTTGTGTACTTGGATTTAAGTTCCTAGGATCAGTAACAGGGAGCTGAATTGATATTGGGAGCTAGGTCAGAAGTGCAGCAGGGGGGACTCAAATCAGTGTCCATATGTGATGCTGGCATTGTGGGTGACAACTTAGCCCCTATGCCACAATGCCAGCCCCTGTGGAAAAATGATCTGAAATGTATTCTTAGAGAAGTATTCAAACAGTTCATGGAAAAATGCCTATATTGAACAATCTATGCTTCTATTTCAGAGTTCTTTCACCAAAGGGATCTTTTTAATTCCATTCTGTACAAGCTTTATGCAGTTTCTTCCCACGATGATTAGTTGAGCAGGATAACAGTGTTTCTTCTTTAAAATATGTCTTTGTCTACAGTTATTTCTACTATCCAGCATGCACAAAATGGATTACACTCCATTTGGGTCAAAATACAAATAGGCCCACTTCATTTTCAGAGCACTGTTATCTTTGGCACTTGCAAATGTTATCTTTGGCACTTT